AACTAAATATGCATGTTGTATGAACTAAATATCCATCATGAATGAACTAAATATGCATTATGAATTAACTAAATATACATCACTTATATATTTAATTTAAATAACAAATATGCATTTTGTACTAACTAAATATGCATAATCAATGAACAAAATATGCATCATGAATGAACTAAATATGCATCGTTATATATTTAATTAAATATACTAAATATGCATTTCGTATTAGCTAAATATACATCATTAGTTAACTAAATATGCATCGTGAATGAACTAAATATGAATCATGTATATAAATATATATTTAATTTAAATACAACAAATATGCATTTCGTATGAACTAAGTATGCATCATATATTAATAAATATGCATCATTATATATTAAATTTAAATATAATAAATATGCACTATGGATGAACTAAAGATGCATTTCGTATTAACTAAATATGCATCATCAATGAACTAAATATGCATCATGAATAAACTAAATATGCACATGTAAATATGCACTATGGATGAACTAAATATGTATTACGTCTTAACTAAATATGCATCATCTATTAACTAACTAAGCATGATTATATATTTAATTTAAATATAGAAATATGCTATATGGATGGACTAAATGTGCCTTTCGTATGAACTAAATAAGCAGCATTAATGAACTAAATATACATTATGAATAAACTAAATATGCACATCTAAATATTTGATTTAGATATAATAAATATGCACTATAAATTAACTAAATATGCATTTCGTATTAACTAAATATGCATTATTATATATTTAATGTAAATATAATAAATATGCACTATGAATGAAATAAATATGCATTTTGAATGAACTAAATATGCATATTTTGATATTTATAGTAGCAACAAAAATATTTTATTTGTTACACTATTTTGTTACACTATTTTGTTAAACCATTATTATTAATTAGCAGTAAAACATTATAAAAGAATGCAACATTTCCAGTCACGGGCAAAGCACGAAAGGTCCCCACGCTACCCTTTTAAGTAAATTCATTCATTATTTTATTTATTGTCTTGTTTTGTTCCCTACAAAGTCCACCCACTCTTTTCTCGTAGCAGGCTTTTTATTAAATCATCCACCCACCCATTCATTATTAACCGAGCTCATTTTACACGCTTTTCGATATTTTTCCCAATTAATTTCTAGTGTTTTTTTTCTACCATGGCTATGGCTGCTCATGTTTGTGGAGCTTTTGTATTAATATTGACTGTGTTGTTTATTACAAGCAGCAAAATATATGCAGATCCAGACATGCTTCAAGATATTATCATTTTCGCACTGATCGGATTTTCGCCCGGATCGAATTTTCACTCGGATCTGATTTTCGCACGGTCGCGAATAGGATGTCTGTGGCCGACGAACTTCACCTGCTCAGCCTGATCCCTGGCGGCGCGCGACTCCGGCGGGATGAATTGGAGGACGCCTGGAGGCCGATGGCGATCATGGCTGGGGTCGACGGCAGCTATGGCGGGTGGCTCTGCGACAGGCTGACCGACAGTTGGAGGTCCGGGCTGGGAGGTTGACTGAGGCTTCACTAAATTCGTCGGGCTGAAGGTCGCCGGAAAACGGGGTCGTCGGAAAACTGGGTCGCCGGAATTCTATTCGCCTCTGACCGGCGGTCAACTCCGGTCAATGGCTGGCAACCGGTGGTCAACATCGATCAATGGCTGGCCGGCCGACGGTCAACGTCGGTCAACATAATTATATTTTTAATATATATTTAACTTAAGTATAATAATTAATATTTTTATTATTTAATTAATATAGATTTTAATTGATTAATGTGAATCATTGATCTGGACAAAATGAATAACTAAGATTGAGTTTTACGTACTCATTTTAAGGAGTGGTCTCAATGGATCCACCCCCTATATATCTATATATATAGATTACGTAGAAATCTAATGGTTACAAATTAACTACTTAATATTTTAATTAATAATATAGTCCATTACTATTTGATTGATTATGTTAGTTTAAAGAACACTGCATTGATAATAGTTATTTTTAATTTAGTAACTAAATTTTTTTCCTTTTTTTTCTAATTGTGGAAACAATTCGTTATATTTTGTACGAATTAAGTTAGTAATAATTATAATTATATTTTGTAAAATTAATAATTGTATGTTATATAATAACGTAAGGATACATAAATTCCTTAACATATCCATCTACTTTGTAATAATCACATAATCAAATATTATCAGCCGTTTATTTATTTATATATATATATATATATGTATGTATGTATATATATATATAGGGTCGCGCTCACATGAGAATGGTGCTTAATGCGAGAAAATAAGAATAAATCTTAGCCATCGGATCGGATGATCTTATGACTAATAAAAAAGTCAAATTTATACCTTCATTAAGGGTATTGTGGTAATTTTTTATCAATCACCAAAAAAGATGGGCCCCAAGATACATTTAATATACATGCCAACTACCCCAATCAATAAT